TTTAATCCGGGAGCAAACTCACAGAATAGTACTGATCTTAATATCATTAAAACTAGGTATACTTGAAATAATAAAAAAAAATTAAACACTAAAAAGTGGCCCGAAACTGTATGTAACAAGGTGGACCCAGGGTGTGGACCCAGCACCATTTCTCCACCTTGTTTCTCGAAATAAAACATACCTCAATTTTTTCAAAAACTGCAGCACTTGTGCGCCTTGTCCTCCAAGCCCCGCAAATATTCCGATAACTGAAAATTACATCTTGGATCACAGCTACACATTTTTCGATAGAGCTATTTATCTCGAGTTTTGCAGAAAATTTGCAATTTTGTCGCTAAACTTGTTCATTTTATAACCGGTATACGGGGTGTAAATTTCATCCCGTAATAGAACATAACCTGTCGGTCTCAATACGTCGTTCTCGTGACATAAGGGCGTATCTCGATTTCAAGATGAGCTCCGAAAAGCATATAGTTAAGCGGAAAACAGGGCTCAAGTTGAATTAGAGATACGCCCTTAGGTCGAGTAGCGATGAATATTTTGCGGCACCCGTGTATCGTAACATCAGTTATTCCATCTTGTATTTGCGGCAAATTTTCAAATATCATTGTGCGGAGGATTCAAACAAAATGAAATCGTATCCTTAATCATTCTAATTCGCTGTCAATGCGGAATGTGCACAGGTCGGTCCACTTATTGAAGAGGGCACTCTGGCAACCGCGCGAGTGGTCTCTCGTTAAAGTTCCGTGGAAACACACCCAAGCCATAAGAGGTTATGCTCTCAGAAGAGCACTCAACCCGACGACCGGATAAAACTTCGGCAAGAGTCGCGCAGATTTGTATGAACTAAATATTTGCCAAAAGACCCTACTCACTGTTGCCGAACCGCAGAGTTTAAAATAGATGAACCACTGGACGGGGTCAGAACTTACAAATGTCGACAGAGTGAACTTGTTTCCCCATCAATATTTTGAGTAGAAATAGCAGTGGTCTTTCTCGAAATTCCAAAATAAAAATGGTGCCCAGGACCTGAAAAAAACGGGAAATGCCTGGATTCACTAGATCAACCAATCGCCGAGAAAAACCGGAAATTCATCAAGGAATCGGTCTCACAAACCGAGAATTGACTCTCTTCCCGGCTTAAGACTTTCTTATTCATGACTCAATCCCACAGATCCTGTGAGCAGGTGGCAGCCGGTTTTAGTGGTGGGGAGGGGGTTTAAGAAACAGGGCAAAGAGGGAAATTAACATTTTCTAAGAAAAGGAAACTTTATTTCCTACTCAAAGTTCAATTATTCGTTGAATTCGTTCAATTAAGCGTTAAATTCCTTCAATTAATTATTGCATCAACGAAGCAATGATTCATCGAACTTACTTGGCATACGACACGGTAAATTTCTCCGTGGTCATCAAAATCATAACCTAACAGTTGAATTTCAAACCAAGGTTGTGACTAGTTGCTGGTGGAGGTAACAAAATGTTGCCCTGCAATTTAAGGTTGTTTGTAATTTGTATCTAAGTTTTCAATTTTATTAAAATATATTTTTGTCCAACATGACAACTGTGTAGGAGGTAGGCTTAATCCCTTTCGAGAGTTTCAAAGTCGCGTATTCATCCCTTTGACCTTCTGAAAATATTTACCCTCTCATAACTCATTAATCATATTTTAAAGAAAAAGGTAACTTTCATCGTGTGTTTTTTTTTACTTTCTCCCTCCCCTTTTTCAAGATTGTAATGCACTACAGTATTGTTGGAAAGTGAACATATATGACTCTTGCATTACATTACGTGAAAAAGCTATTGGAGGTGACATTGCGCACGGAGAAAAAAACTTCGTGCGTGGGACCCGAAGTTGAAGTCATATGGATCTCTGAAGTTTTTGGATCACGTATCTAAAAGCTTGAGGTCCAGCTGCCGAAGTTCGGGTCAGACATCGAGGCACTTCCAAACGTACCGGAGTACTTCAGATATGTGACCCGAACCCTTCGGTATGTATCGAGTACTTCAAATGTCCGACCCGAACTTCGGCGGCTGTACCTCAAGTGTTTAGATACGTGATCCGAAAACTTCAGAGATCCCTATGACCTCAACTTCGGGTCCCACCTACGAAGTTTTTTTCTCCGAGTGATGCTCCGAAGCATGATTTCCCTCGACAATGCTCTCTTTAGGACGTATAATAAGTTCACACAAGATGGTGGTACCTAAAAATTTCGTAAATCCTCAAAATAGAATTACTGGATAATATGTTTGCATTCTATTCCAATGAATGGTCGTTAATATTTATCAATAATTTAATCTTGTTAAACCGGGTGTGTAATCGAAGATTTATTTTTGCATCCCCTAACAGATTCATATAATCTACAACCTTCCTCTACTCCAGGAAGACAAGCATTTGGTGTAAGAGGCACTACGAAGCGCAACTGCTGAAATAGTTGATCGGAATGCTGAGAAGGCAGAGACAGCTTCTCTTGCGGGAAAGTATAAGCTTTGTGGGATCAAAAATCACCCAGGGGGGCTATCTCTTAGCTTCAAAGTGACGGGGAGCATTTTCGAGTGATATTCCACTCATCTCGTAGCGCAAAGAGCTATTTGTGAAAACTTTTCAGTCACTTTTCAAGAGGCGCAGGCCCCGAGCGAAAACAGTAGCAGCTGAAAATCCGTTCTCGCGAAAAGTTATTTCAGCTCAATTTTCCAAGTTTCTATCGCATCACGAGATAAAATTGCGATTCATGGAAAAAGAAACAAAGATTAAACGGGGAGACTTTATTTGTAACTGGCGCCGAAGAGATAGAGCCAGCGCCAGAGCGGGCCAATTTTCTCACCGCGATAGCGGGGTTTTTGTTTCAATCCATCCAGAAGATTTATCGAGGTTGAGTTTTGTCGAAAACCCATTTGGAGTCTTGTCGATCGAAAATTCCATCGGAGTTGAACGCAAGTCTCTATGCAGGTGATCATTTTCAGAACCGTACTGCTGCATTTTGCTGGAAAAAAAGCTCGGTCCTATGAGTTAATCGAACTTTCAGTGTTCGTTATCATTCCAACTGGATTGCATTTTGCAAAAAGAAACCAGGAACATTACAATATTGCTAAGATTGTGCAGCTCCTTCTGTCTTGGAAGGACCACCCGAGTACCTCTGAAAAGTTTCTATTTTACTATAGTTAAAAACTGTAAATTTAGGACAAACATTACCATGTAAATTTCATATTTTTTCAGCATGTAGATCGTTATACCGCAATGGGTGAAGTTGCACAATCTTAGCAACATTGCAATGCTCCTGGTTCCTTCTTGCGAAATGCAATCCAACTATTCGCTGTGTCAAGCCGACGAACTTTCGGTTCGTATGACCGAACATTCGGATGAGCGAACTTTATGCGTCAGTTCTCTTTACCGCCATCATTAGACTATCATCGCCAAAAAGACGAACATGCGGATCTTCCGTGTACTTAGAATTGTTTGATGCGGATACTGTTGCAGGCACTGAAGAATTCTGCGGATAATTCGGCAAAATTTGCGCGTCCTTCCGGCGGATCTTTCGGCTCTCTTCATGCGCATCTTCCGGGATATTTGATCGGGAGCGGGGAGGATGGCCCGCGAGTCGGTATTATTCACACAATTATTCCAGGAGAGCCGACTCTCAAAGCCGCATCCCCTGCGGGAGGGATTCCACCCCCTTCCCTCTCCCACTTACCCTCCGACTACCGCAAACGCGAGGGAAAAAGTGCATATTTTCAACAAAGCGAGTCGAAACTTGCGGAAGTTTCAACTGCAATCCTGAATACGGTTCGTATGGTCAGAGGAGGAGGTGGGAGTGGGGGTGGAAACTTCTCGCGAGTCAAATGAAGTCGGAGTTTATCGAAAAAAATAAGAAGTTACGCCCGGGAATTATTTTAAACTGTTGACTGCGGTGCGCGCTGATCGGCGTGGGAGGGGCGCGCTTTTGTTGCGAAGTTCGCTGCCCGGAACGAGGTAATTGTGCTGAGCGTTTGAGTCGGCTATTTAGGTGTTTGAGCGAGCGGAATAATGAAAGTTGGGTTGTTAATTCCTTCCGTCAAGTGGTTTTCTTTTCGCGCCGGAGGAACTTGCCTCTCGCGTGCTTGCGGGGATCCGACAGACTACTTTATTTGACCACGAAAATTAAATTTTCTGCACAATATCATTTTTTTAATCCCATAGCTGCAGGAAAATGTCAGGGAATTTTTAACAGTCAGGGAAAACCTGGAAATGTTAAAGAAAAATTGTTGAGTCACCTTTAATCGCCTTTGAAATGAGCTTGACGTTTCGGAAAACAATTTGTCGGAAAAATATTTCAAATTATGCCTTTTTAAACATCTAACTACTTCAACCGTTAAGGAATTTTACCGAAATGTGTCAGGGAAATTCATTTGTTAAATTCTTTGACATCCCTGCGAAATATGTGCTTACTTCGTTACCCTCTTTTAATTGTGAAAAAAGTCAAATTAATTTACAGAAATGAGCCAAGTGCACAATTTGGTTCTTTCTTTCTCATTTTCTGATAGTAAAACCAAATGCACAGGTAAGGAATCACGCGTGATGCGGTTTGAGTTCTTCCCAGAAATTAATATGTTAGCTCCTTGTTCGCTAAAAAACTTATGGTGAAATGACTTCTGTTCGAATGAAAGTATCTGCTCTTAAGAAACGCAAGTCAGCTCGAGATTTGATACGCGTTGCGCCGCGCTATCCCGATGACTAATCCAGCCTGAATGTCGTGTTTTTGTATCTGCTGTTTTTGAAGGCGGATCGTATTCCGTCGAGCACGTCTCTCATTAACATTAGACCATTCGCAGTTTGCTAACCTGTTATCTCGAATATGGATGTTGAATTTAATTTTTTTTATCACATCTACAGTTTTACTTGATACCTTGAATTTTGCTTTCAATGATGTCCCGCACAATTTATCTTATCCGTCTCTCCTTGTTTTTCACCTGTTTCGTTCGCCTTAACTTTCCTTAATGATTTGATTTCCGTTCTGTTACAGAATATACTGGAGAAATTTAATCCCAGTGCGCGGCAAATGATCAACGCTGGAAAAGCGTATCTCAAGGCTCTTCATGGTAAGCACCCCATCTACATTTCTTTTCCCCTCTTTCTGACACTTTCTTGATTATTTGTTATTGTTTGATAGACTTGTTGCCATGACTATGAACTTATGCAGGGAGCATAGTAATACACGTTTAGACTGCGAGACATGTTTGGGTTTGCTTATTAGAACTCCGCGAAAATTGCATCAGATGTATCTAAAATGTCAGAAATCAACTCTTTGCAAAAGATTTTTACATTATTTCAACGGAGTTTTAATAGAAATATGCGCCAAGTAACTAGTGGTGAGGCGTGTATGATCGATATTTTTTATATTTCCCCATTTGAAATTATGGTAAAGAATCGATTATTAAGGTGTTCGTTGCAAACACCCCGTTTATTGATCCTTTTCCATCGGGTTGAATAGCAGATCAATCGATGTATCGCAAAGCGCGCCTCGCCACTACAAGTAACATCAAGATCAAACCGAGAAATAGAGGTTTGAAAACAACAATATCAAAGCAAAAGTACGTCATAAACTAACAACGTCATAGTAAAAGAAAGTTTTTTCACAATCAAAATACGAATTCTAGATTTTGAATTTGAGACAGGAGGAAATGTGCGGCTAGCTCTGAATTAGCCCACAGCTTAAAAGCTCAAAACTAATAAAGCTTATTTTTGCCAACATGTGACTTAGTCTCTTTCTGTTTTAATTCAGTCCACACATATCTTTTTCAAATTTTACGTAAGAAGCATTTAGCGCAACAGGAAGTGCAGATTTGGCTTACAAAAAGTTTGAATCGATGGAAGTAGAGAACGCTAGTTCTTCCTTGCATGTTGAATTTGGAAATGTTTGATGCATCCCTTCTTTTTACATAAATTTTTAATGAGAAAACGTATCCTAAGATGCTTCAAATTTTCACGTACAATCTATCTAGTGGTCCATTGTCCTTCTTGTGCTCGTATTAGCTTAAGATAAGTTATGTCACGACAATTCGTTGTTCCCCACGTGGAAGGACGTAACTGCATTTGAATGTTGCCAAATTTCTCCTCGCAAATTGCATTCGTACTAAGAGAGTCATGGGCAGCCCTCGCTGAAAATTTCACTGATTTTGCTTCTGATCGTGAGTTAAAATCAGAAAAATTTTGAATAAAAATCAGACAGGTACGTCGTTGTAAAACATTGAATGGACCACTGGACAAGGTACGAATTTAAGCAATCTGATACACGTTTCTTAACCAAAATTTCACGTAAAATACGATTAACACAACAAAAATTACTGAAACCAACTCCTAACGAAGATATCAACGTTTTAATTTCACATTGGCCACGAGGAATTTGAACTGCCCGCTCACAAGAAACTCAAAGCTCTACGTGAGTCAAATCGCGCTCTACAATACGGTTTCAGCAAGCTTCTCAATCGAGCAATGTTCATTTCCCACCATTTGTTGCTCAAACTTTAAGCAATTTGCTATAGCTGAGCCAAAGCGTCAAGATTGAGGTTGCCAGATTTTTAAATCGCAGATACTGTCATGATAACGTTTAGCGCGCCTTGTGAATCACGTATAGCATTGAGTTTTCATGAGCGGGTGGTTTGAATTCACGCATCAAGAATCATTAAATATCTTCGGAAGGAGTTGATTTCGGTAATTTTCGTTTTGCGCATCGTGTTTTACGTAAAATTTTGGTTAAGAAACATGTATCAGAATGCTGAAATTCGTACCTTATCTAGTGGTCCATTGTCTGAGTCAATTTTGCACTCAGTAACTGAGTTACGTTCCTTCTTGTGGGGAACGACGAATTGAGTCCCAAAACGTTCTTTCGTTCTTGTGTCAAAAGTTCACCGAACAACCTCAGACCCTTCTTCAGACGTCAAAAGATGAAAAAGAAGAAAAAAATGAAGAGAAGGCGAATGCTTTTGTGTCCTGGCGTAGGGGTGCGAGAGGGGCGAGGGAGAAACTCGAGAGGGGTAGTAAATCAAACTCGCGAGCTTCTCGACTTGCGTTCTCCGATTATTCGGTTACTGGAGCCTCTCCCGCCCGGCCGGGGGCTTTCCTGCCCCTCCCTCCCTCGCCCCCCTTCTCGGGGCCCCGTGCAATTTATTACGCATAGCGGACAATTTGTAACCTGACTCCTCACTATCTGTAACGTCTTAATTATATTTTTGCGCCCCTCCCCCTTCACCCGCCCCCGTTGTCATCGCGCCCTTAGTGGAGGGATGGTCTCGCTCTCCGACGCTTCGGATTATGTCCCAGCGTGACGGTGTAGCTGCTCCTTAGCGGTAGGCAATTATCAGCCGTGGAGTGACGCTCTTTTCTAACACTTTATAAATGAGATTGGTAAAATGAAGTAATTAGATTCTCGATCCATATCGATGCCTTTTTGGACTTTGAGGATTCGTCTCTAAATTTGTCGTTTCCCGGAGGAAATAACCTAACAATGACAATTGAAGCATTTAAGGTCAACATGCAAAAGGCAGAAGTATACTTCTTGACGAAAGTGAGATAGTAGCATTAAGCGCTAGTAAATAAAACCTCTTCAGTCGCATCCATAAACCCACTGAAAATTGGCAAAAATTACACTTTGGGGGTCTAGGGGGATTTTATCCCCCTAAACCTAGTACCCAAATCCTGCCAGTAAGTAAAACTTCCTTAGCCGCACCCAAAAAACCTCAAGAAATTGGGAAAAATTACATTTTGGGGGTCTAGGAGGAATATATTCCCAAAATGTAAAAGTGAACAGATTTATCCACAGAATATTATTTATTAAGAATCTTACAATTGCTTCCTTCATCACATAAACTGTGTCCTTCAACAATGTCTAATCTTACACCATGCAGCCATATGTTATGATCGAAAAAGAATAAACCTAAACGAACCCCCGAATGTTAGAAAAAGTAATGATCAAAGAGGCAAATTCCGCCTTCTAAAAAATGTGCGCATAAATTTTTCAGGTCCAATCGCACAAGCCCCATATTTAATCCCGTTATTTAAGCTTCAGTTCAAAGAAATTTATCGTGCTGAAAAACTGTTTTTATTGTTATTGACTCTTCGCCGATTTTTCTCATGATACCTGAAAATTCAAGTATATGTGGATTGCATTTTGCAAAAAGGAACCACTAGCATTGCAATGTTGCTTAGATTGTGCAACTTCTTTTGTCTTGAAGGAAAAACCCGTTAATCCATTAATAGTTTCTATTTACTCGCTAAAACCTGTAAATTTAAGACAAAAATTACCATCTAAATTTCATAGTTTTTCACGATTTCCGCAATTTTATCGCAAAATATGAAGTTGCACAATCTTAGCATCATTGCAATGCTAGTGGTTCCTTTTTGTAAAATGCAATCCATGTACTCAATATCACTCTTATATCATTAAAACCACTCTTAAGTTAACAGGAAAAAAAATTCATTGGAGGGAAAATGATTTATTTTTGTGCTGCAATATTTGCAAGGTGAAAGGTGAAACAGTTATTCTAAGCATGTTGGTACTTTGACGAGGGAAGCAATTAAATCCTTTCGTTCCAAACGAGTGAGAACAAGAAAGCGAAACTAAGAGCTCCTTCACTTCGACGGTCGTGCAATTTCACCTACTTAAGAGTCGAAATAGTTGTATCATGCATCACGGTCTCTTCGCGGCATTGACATCGACCAAGTAAGCGCACAACGAAATTGATTAGGGTAAATGAAATTAAGCAACGGATGTTTCTGAAAACGAATCAATCATCGTGGCATTTTCAATGATTTAACTTGTTTTATAAGAATATTGATTTTATGCACCATTGAAAAAAATAATTACGTACCAACTCGTTTTGTGAATGTCTACATACTTTCAAAATTGATTGTAACTCGTCCAAGAGTTTTCTTTCAACACACATTGGTTCATCCCTTTTTCCATGAAAATTCTACATTGCAAATTTTTAGAATTTTACTGCACCACACAGACGTAAATCTAGAACTCGTCTTGCCGCCTAATTTGAAGTATGTTTAAAGTTGTTTTTTCAGTACGATTTAAAAAGTAGAAAGGACCCTTCTTTTGAAGGCTTTCTTTTTTTCCCATTGCATGCCGTTTATCTTTTGAAATCTCTAAAAAGTGGACACCGCCTTCACCGTGAGGTTCTTCCCTATTCGTTCATTCAGCCATGTTGGTTCTCGACTTCTCGCAGTTACTCTATAGCTTCGGAGCTTTTTCTTGCAGGAAAATAAGACTTAATTTTCAAGTCGTCAGTCGATGTAATTGGTCTGTTGTGGCGGAACCTCCGGACTCAACTACTCGCAAGATCAATAACTACGCTCAACTTGACGGCAAGTCGCTTCAGTGATGACATATTTCCGTCATTTCTAACGAATTTTCTTGGAATACGTGATAAATTCAGCTAGAAACTGAGTTTTTGCCATATGTTCACGATCTCAGTTCAGTTTGCTGTTTGTTTCTCCAATCCTCTGCCATCTCAATTCGCTGGAGGATTAGCGTCCTTCCGATAGGAGAAATTATTTTTACTTTCTCCCTCCCCTTGCCAGTAAAGGAAGTGTTGTTATTTTATTTTATTTTTTTTAAAATAAAACTAGACACCCTGAAAAAAGATTAAAATGCAAAAAGCAAAGAAAATGCAAGCAAGACTATACGAGTAAAAATTGAGTCAAACGCCATCTACCACGGTATCGCATATCAGGGTCTCAAGAGTTTTGCCCTCTTTCCTCTCATCAGTTATTCACGAGAACTGTTGTTCCGCTTCCTCTACGCGTTATGTGAATCGCTGATGAAAACAAGTTCTAAATATTCACGACCTGCAACGTCATCATAAAAAAAAAAGAAATGTTGTGCGCATCGTGTTTTACGTGAAATTTTGGTTAGTAAACATGTATCAGAATGCTAAAATTCGCACCTTGTCTAGTGGTCCATTAGGGGTTGATATGGAACACCACTAATAGTTATGAGTGAACTAATAATTCTCGGTCTGTGAATCATACTAAGGTATCTCGTACCATACTAAGGTATATATATCATCACTAAGGTACATGTGATTTTAAAAAT